AAACAGGTAATGTATAGACTCTTTCTTTTCCTCTTAACTACATACACATCTGGATGCTCTGCTCTGAAGCAGCTGAAGAGCGAAGGAAGAACAAACAGTGTTACTGAAAATCAGGAGCTAAACCTTGTAAGACACGGAGTCGGCTGCATTTATAGCGTCTAAAAACCTGACTCAAAGAGACATGCGCACAGCCTATAAATATCCTCCCAGCAGCAGTACGTGGTAAATACAGCAAGTGAATTATTCACAACCTTAAGTTCAGGTCATTTCTCTTTGTCCAGCTGTCGAAGCGAGACAATGCTTTAGAGCCGAGCGGATGCCATGCTCAGAGAGGAAAGCGGCCCGGAGACTCTGCAGGCCGGAGAGGCCAGGTGCAGCCGCAGCCCTGAGAGCAGCCCCCCTGGTCTCTGCACTGGAGGGGAGGGGGGGCTGGATGGCCACATCACCTATCCAGCACTTCTGTCTCTCCTTCATTTCTGATGCGGGATCCTAGAGAACAAGCTCAAAGACAAACACACACAAAGGTTTCTCCGCCTGGTGGGCAGAACGAATGCGTGCTGCGGGGGAGAACAGTCAAGTGCATGGAAAGGTGCTCTGTCGGCTGTGATGCTCAGGAGGCATCCTGGTACTTCCTCTCACCAAAGGCATCTGTCTTGCAAAGTCACTGTCTCAGGCAGGCGATTCCCCCCAAGTCTGTCGCTCGGACACTTGTCTCCCACTTTTCTCATCATACACGGTGATGAGAGATGGGCCTTATCTTGTCCAGATAGCAGGTTAGACACCTCAGCGTTTTTAAGTGGTGCAAAATGCAAATGGCTCTAGCTCTTAGCACTGTCAGGATTTCCCCCATTGCTCTGCTGCGAACAAACAAGACAAAACATTTTTTTTTCACCAAGATTTTCCTTCCATGTGATGAGGTTTCTGCCTTGTAGACAATTTTAGGTTTTCTAAGGCAGTGGTTCTCAACCTTCCTAACACCTTGTCCCTTTAATACAGTTCCTCATGTTGTGGTGAGCCCCCCACCCCCACCCCCGGCAATCATGAAATTATTTTCGTTGCTACTTCATCACTGTCATTTTGCTACTGCTATGAATCGGATGACCTCTGTGAAAGGGTCATTTGACCCCCAAAGGGGTTGAGAACCGCTGTTCTCGGGTAATCTCTAGAAGTCACAATTCATTTCAAAAGCACTTAAAACGATCCCCAGTTGTTGGAATATCAACAGAAAGGGCACTGCTGGGCACTAGCCTTCTGTAGAGTGATTTGAAGGCCGGGAAGCTCTGCAGATAGAACAGGCTCAGTTCATCCCCCCACAGCCCCTGAGTTGATGCCTCCCCACAGTCACCCCATAGGCCAGAGGGTTTCCAGGGCTGTAAGCCTTTATTGGAGCAGACAGCCTCCTCTTTCTTCCAGGGAGCAGCTGGAGTGTTCAAACTGCTGACCTTGCAGTTAGCAGCCCCGTGAGTACCACCCACACCCCACACCCCCGACCCGGCACCACAAAACTTAAAAACTCACTGCCTTCGGTCGTTGCTAACTCACAGTGACCCTGTAAGACAGAGCAGAACTGCCGCCCCGGGAGTTCCCAAGACTGTAACTCTTTATGGGAGTGGAAAGCCCCATCTTTCTCTTGAGGAGCAGCTAGTAGTTTAAAAGCGCTGACCAGGGCTTCTTCAAGTCATGCTTTGATATAATCAAATCCTAGCATGTATCCCACTGTCTTTCTACGTGCAAGTTCTCCTAACCGAGAAGCTGCCCACGTGCGGTTTCCTTTCTTATGCAGAGTGGGGGAGAGGGGAGGCAAGGAAGAGGAGAAGTGACCCAGTCCACTTGGCCAGCTGGTATCTAAAACTTCAGCGGGCAACAGTGACTTGTGCCCACAGTCACGGCGACCCTGAGTTGTGTCTATCTGCTGTCTTAGGGTGTTTATTAAACTGGACGCTCAGACTGTCATTTACTGCACTGCATGGTGTAACGGCTAAGATGTTATGTCAACTTGGCTGGGCCAGGATTATCTGTGGTTGAGCGGTTAAGACCTGGTAATCCTCCAAGATGAAATCTAACCTAATGCAATCATCTCCAGAATGAGGTCTGTGGCAGTTACATAATCTCCTGTCAACTTGAGAAGGGGTGGAGTCTAGCCGCTCAATCGGGTCACAGCCAATGAGGCCTCTGCGTGGGCCTGGCTTTCTCTTGAGGATCCTTAGAACTCCGGTCTTCTCTCTGGAGGCAGGACACACACTTGCTGCCCGACATACCTGATGACAAGCTGGATGGAGCTAGAGCCCCGGAACTGGAGGAGCCACATGGAGACCCACACCAATGCTTTTCCACAAGACTTTCCACCCACTGCCCTGTGATCTTCCTGCAGTTGGCATTATTGTATGGCTGTGTGAGTCTGAAGAAAAATATATAGACTGGTTTCAGATATATGGGCCAATATCAGACTCGTGGACTTGATCTGGACTGGGTTGGGATGTTTTCTTAATATACAATTACTCTTTGATTTACAGTTCTTTCTTATATACATATGAGTGTCTCACTAGATTTGTTTCTCTAGTCTACCCGGACTAACAGAAGATCTACCATGAACAGCCATTCAACTGAAAGGACATTTCATCAGAAATGTGACCTGCTTCCAATATAAGTGGATACTGTGGGAAAGCTTGCATATCTTTTTGCTGGGTCTGTATCCTGCATCTGGCTTGTCATCTGGCCTCTGGTTCCTTCGATTTGAGCCAGTGGCTGCCTTATTGCCTGATGCTCCTGGAAGTTGTCTTCTTACCTGCCATCTGACCTGCCAACCTTGAGTTCATCAGCCCCTACAGCCTACACAAGTCAAGAGAAGCCTCCACTCTGACATTTGCAACATGGACTTGGAAATTGCCTGCCATATGAGCCATTTGCTTGATCTAAACTTCTCTCGGTATAGACACATACACACTTCACTGGTTTTGTTTCTCTAGAGAACACAGCTGAAGATACATGGACCAAAAACTGGCCATGAAGTGAGACGCTGAAGTATTCGCTGAAGGCTACTTGCCATAATCACAGCCTGTCAGTTGCGTGAACTGCTCCCTAGATGGGTAATTGCCAGAGGAGAATGGCAACCACCAAAAAGCAACTGTGTTCCATTAAGAGTGTCTGGGGCCTGCTTTTAGGATCACTGGGAAGGCAGCTAGTGCTTGTCAAATGGTCTTCTTTCTCCCCCAAGGAAGTCCCATAGCACCACCACTGAAACGAGATCTTTGCAATCATAGCATCCTCATGGTAAACCACAGTGCAATACTTGACACATCTTCAATAAATGGCTTACAATACAAGCAGAAGGCCATATACTTTTTTTGTTTATGCAAACACACACAAACATTAAAGTTTGTGGAATTGTATCCAAGACAATTGCAAAGTTTATAGAAAACACAAAGCCGGGTGCAAGTGTCACCTGGGCTAACATCCGAAGAGGAGAAATTAGCAGAGCTTCAGCTTCTATTGAGTGCCTGCCTGAGCTGGTGGAATTTGCCAAACCTGCACTATTCACACAGAATCATGGAAATTGGAAACATAAAGCTGGCGTCTATTGGGAAATGATAGGCTCAAGATGAACTCAACTGGAAATTCTGGCTAACTCTGAGTGGCATCCTTTGTGCTAGCATTTTTCTCTCCGAAAGCTTTTTTAAAAGGGCTGTAATTATTTCAAGCTCTCCATTCAGCCCTCTCCCAGCTAAGCCTTTGCTTCTCTCCACTGCTCTGCACTGCGCCCCCACATACACCCAAGCATCTGCCAGGCACTGAAGTGGCAAATTCCCCTTGGTTTTATCAACATACCAATTTCAGGGAAAGGTAACTAGCACCCCTTTCAGACCCTCTGTGCCAAGGAAAACAAAGAGATGTTTGTACATCAAAACCTCTCTCCTTGTGCAGGGGCTCAACATGCCTGAGCCCTGCTACACAAACCCTGCAAGAGGAAGCGGCGGGCGAAGGGCAAAGCGCAGTCTCTTGGCAAATGCGTGCTCTTCTCCACGTGGAACCAGGGAACACACGAACTGGGGCTTACCTGGTGGCTTTGGGGTCCCAGATCACAATATCCGCGTCTGATCCTATCGCTATTCTTCCTTTCCTTGGATAGAGATTAAAGATTTTAGCTGCATTGGTGCTGGTAACGGCCACAAATCGGTTTTCGTCCATTTTACCACTGTGCTGCAAAACAATGAGTCCTAGTTACCCAGTGCTGCTGTAAGAGAACCATCACGAAGCCGATGGCTTTCCCAGCGGGGATTATTTCCTCACTGGTTGGGATGCTGGGAGTTTGGATTCCAGGCCCTGCTGGAGGGGAAGACATTCTCTCAGCGGCTCTGTGGGGGAAGGCCCCTTTTCCTTGGCTCTTTGGTGATCTTTATGTGGTACGAAATCTATCTTCCCTCTTCTCTGCTTTTAACTTGCCAACTCCATCTCTTTCTAGCTCAGAAGAGACTGACTCACGGGCCACCCCACACTAACCCTGCCTCACTCATAGAACAGGCTTCAGCCATCTGCAAAGAGGACGTTAACCACAGGCAGAGGTCAAGGTTTGCAACACATATTTGGAAGGGAAGCAGTTCAGTCCACAACACAATCCAATGGAAAAAATGCATTTGTCCTAACGTTCCAGCATCTGAAACAATTCTCTTATCAAGACTTGCATCTCTTAAGATGCACGACAGATCTGCACCTCCTTTCTTATCCCGTGGAAGTAAACGCATCTGTGGATGGTGATAAGTCTTAAGCGATCGTGAGGATGATGTGGTGGTGGCAGTGGTCACACAGGGCAGCCTGGAGAGGCCTTTTCAAAAGCTTTCGGCTTGGAGTTCTCTTGCCCTCCTTCCCAGGCTCACGAGATTGCAGTCCATGACAGCCGGATGTTGGCAACAGTATTTTCAGTTCTCATGTGAATTTTACCACTGCCTCCTATCCCACTTATGACCTGGCTTATTGAGCTGCACACCTAAGGTATATGAGAGAATTATGTACACACCAACTAGAATATTCCAGGGTTCAAATTAGATCGGCCTTCAGATCAGGCGACAAGAGTTTAAGAAAGAGGAAGAAAAACAATAGCTCAAGGGGTTCTATCTTGTGCAACTGAGATTTACACCTATCCACAGCCATGGACCATCTATTGCGAGAGATTTTAATATGGACAGAGTTTGAAGGATGGGACGCCGCTCTAAAGTGATCAATAGAAGACTGATGGTTTGCACCTATGTAAATATACCAATTAAGAGCACTCTTATGAGGCTTACTCAATTATCAAAGGTTTCCTGCCTCAAAGAAATGATTAATAACTGTGACTTGAAAGGAATATTCCCGTAAGCAAGCAAACCATCTCAATGTGTCAAAGAGCGGCATTGTTCCTTGTGTACTAATAAGAAATAGTCCGTCACTTTGAAGCCATTTGCATAATCGGGAACTGTAATAGATGACGATGGCCATGCAGATACTCATTGGAACAAGGGAAGTCAAGAGAGAGAGAAGTTGAACTGTTAGCAGCAGTCTGAGCCCAAGAAGAGACATTTTCTGGGACCGCTAAGAGTGGGGATGGTGCACAGCTGAGAGGGAGGGAGGGGTGGAGAGGACGGTAACACAGACAGAGCGAGAAAGATGTTTTGACAACTCGTAGATGTAATTGGTGATCCCAAGATTACCCTCCAGAAAATGGCGACACCCTAGGAGGAGTGTTGCAGAGCCGTGTGTTAGAAAGGTCCTCTGGGACTGGACTACGGAAACCGTGACAGCAGAGAGAAAATGGAAGCAGGCCACCACCGGCTGTGACACTACTGCCAAGTCCAAACAAACGATGGGCCTTAACGAAGCGGTCATTGCGAAGGCGGAGAGGAGGAAGCCTCTGAAAATTAAAATTCGCTGGAGGTAGGCGGGGGTGGGGGGGGTGGGGGTGGGGGAGGAAAAGTTATCCAAGAGGATCCCAAGATCTGATTTCTGGGCCAGCCACGGGAGAATCCCAGGGTGAGTAGTGAGAAAATGTCTGGCAGGGGGGTTCCCTCTGCTCCCATTGACAACCTCCCACGTCAATCACGTCAACCACCTGGGCAGGAGGACACAGAGCCATCCAGCGGTCTGACTGTTCGTCATCCGAAGGGAGAAGAGTTTAAACCACAGGACTTTAAAGCCTCTTTCTAGATGTCAGACTATTATCTAGGTAAGCCTCATACCGCACTTTAAAAAATGTGATTTCCAAGGGTTCTTCAAAGGAGAACCTTTTCAAATTTCATGAGAAGCGGTTGCGAACGTAATAAAACTTCTTCAAACGTGTTCTATCACCTCAAGTATTTGCCACAGCGACACAGGGAGACGTTGGGACTAAAGAGCCTGAGGGACGGAGCAGAATCACCGTGAACTTCTAGTCTTGAAGAAGAATGCTCTTTGAAAAAGAGCGCCTCTGAACAACGCAACAACTTAGCCTCTAAAGCTGTACCGAGATACTACCATTGCTTTGCTGATACGTACCCGGGGGAAATGGAAAGCAGTGTTGACCATCCAGCCTCCACCCTAGTGAGGGGATGGACCGCTAATGACAAGATCGAGGGTTCAAGAGCTCCTGCTGTCTACCCCATGCAAGAGCGAGTCTTGGAAGCACTATACAGGGTCGCTCTGAGATGGGATCTTCTGAATGGCAGTGTTACTTGTTTTGCTTTTTACCCTGGTATACACCATCAAAAAGCTTTCCTATATAAAGTTTGAGAGTCTCCTGGTGGTTCGGAAAGGAGCCCTGGTGGTGCAGTGGGTGACAAATTAGGCTGCTAAATGCAAGGTCTGTGGTTCAAACTCACCAGCTGCTCCTTAGAAGAAAAATGAGGCTTTCTACGCCCATGAAGTTATACAGACTCGGAAACCCACCGAGGCAGTTCTACCCAGTCCTACGGGGTCTCCATGTGTTGGAATCAATTTGATGGAAGTGAGTGTGTTTTTTTTATTTGGGGTGGGGGTGGGGGGTCCAAGCATTTGCACTCAACTAGTCACATACAGCTGATAGTTTAAATCCACCCATCGGAGCCTCAGAAAAAAAGAGTTGGAATCCAGTCAAGAAAACCTGATGGAGCAGTTCTGGAATACTTGGGGTCGTCACCATGGCTTGACGTCCGCTACGGCAGTGGGTTTTCTCTATTTTGTTTTGGAAAAAAGTTTACGTTACTCTGGTGAAAGCAAAAGTTGGATCCTGGCTTAAGAATCCAACTTCAAATAGGCAAAATGGGCTGGATTCTCCGACACTTACCACGCCTTTTTCCCATATGACCGACATTCGGTCCTCAACGCCATTCACCCCATTGGGTATCTTGGTAAAATCCTCCTTCCCTAGAGCTTTCTGGCAGGTGTTGAAGGTACAGTGGTCAGTCCCGGTTGTGGTCAGATCATCGCTGTCAAGAGAGATACACAAGTGTGATGGAGAGGAGTCGACCAAAGGGGTTAGGATGACTTTAAATAACCTTCCAATCCCGACTCCCCTTCTCCACCGAGAGTCAGAAAACAATACAAGGTAAAATAAGTAGCTTTTTAAAATATCTATTTCACTTCATTTGCACCTTTACCCTGGGATTTGTTTTCTTCCTTTGCTAAAGAAGTCTTTTGAAAGACTACTCTTGGAAGCACCTGGCCAACTCCATCCCTTACTGCAGGGGTCCTCAAACTTTTTAAACAGGGGGCCAGTTCACTGTCTCTCAAACCAGTTGGAGGGCCAGACTATAGTTAAAAAACAAACAAACTATGAACAAATTCTTATGCACACTGCACATATCTTACTTTGAAGTTAAAAAACACCCGGCAGGCCCGATAAATGTCCTTGGCGGGCCGCATGTGGCCCACGGACCATAGTTTGAGGACACCTGCCTTACTGGCTCCACCATCACAAGAACGTGCTCATTACTGGTGGGGATATGTACTTGATGGAGTGAAATTTCTAAGTATGGCTCTTCTACCCAAGTCTCTGTAACTCCCGCCAAATGACTGTGGGGGGGGATGCCAATGGAGCAGGTGCCATGCTAATAGAGGGGAATGGTCGGCTTTCGTTACCACCCCTTGGGCTACAAGTGTGAGCCATCTTTGAAGCAGGAGCAGAGCAGGAAATCCCAGGACCCTTAGAAGAAGGCCATGTCCAAGATCTCTATTGGAAGTAGTGTCGGCTGAGGCCAGAGGCACCAGCGACTGTGGAGTGGAGACGGCGGGGCAGAGCAGAGGATCCAGGTTGAGACCAGAGGCCAAGGCAAGGAAACCAGGAGACGGAGCAGAAGGGCGGTGTGTTGTTTATGGGAGGGTGAGGCAGAGAGACCAGCGAGCCTCCTGGTCCATAGAAGCAGAGGTCAAGGAAGCACGTGACTGAGAGGCTGAGGACCAGAGAGAGAGCTGGCTGCTGACTGAGGAGAGGGGCCGCTGAGGACCGAAGGCTGAATCCTCCCAAGGAGACGGACGGACACAGCGGCTGCAATCAATGGGCTCAGGCACAGGCACCAATGTGAGGGGGGCGCAGGACTGTGCAGCGTTTCCTTTCCGCTGTGGGTCAGAGCCAACTCGATGGCACCTAATGACGACGACCACAATGACTGCATCCTTACTGATTTCTGATCCTGATGTGTGGTCGCCTGTTAACTTCCCTGATGAATCTCCTTCATGATGGGTCTTCACTGTGAGTTCTGTGTGGAGACTACCCCAGGTCACTGAACCCAGCATGGTAGTAGAATGCCACGGGTATCAGATTAGGTAGAGAGAGACAGAGGGCAGAGGCACGTCTGACTTCTGCCTTCTGGCAACAGGGAAGCCAGAGGAGGTCCGGTATGGCCACCCCACACCGTTGAGTGCACTAAGGAAACGACTTCAGGATCACTGCCGATCACATGCAGAGAGATGGCTGTGAACACAGAACCAAGGTGAGCCACATGAAGAGGGAGGGGCAGGTGCACCGGGGCAACCCTCTGGCTGATTGGCCATCCTGTGACGAACAGAGATGTGAGATTGTTGGGGGACGCTGACACCTTCTGGGTGTCAGGGCTCTGGCTTTGACTTGTGAATAGCAGGAGAGAGGAGAAGTGTGAAGAGGAAGGAGAGAGAGAGGCGGCACCAGTTAACACTTGTACACTCTTGTGCAAATCCATTTGTTCACTTGAATCTAAGAGAGAGGCGTGTCTGGCTGTCTACGAATGGCAGAAACCAAGGGAAACTAGTCAGGGCCTCCCAGACAGGAACAGAGCTTCCTGTCCAATCAGCAGACGGGCCCCAGCTTGTATCCGCATCGGAAAACAACTCAAGAGTGTTCTGCTGAAGATAGGTATCTTGAATAGCCTTGGTTCTGGGCAAGGACAGTCAGAAAAGAGAAGGAAAAACAGATTGGTGAGGAGAGTAAAACATCAGTGACCCAAATGTGAATTCTCAGCGTCCAGGAGGGGTTTGGACAGTGTACCCTCTGCTGACGCGGGCGGTGGGTGCCAGCTGAGCGGCTCTCCAAGGGCACCAAGCCCCTGGGACGCCAGCCAACGCTCCCGAGGCTCGAACAAGGTGTCCTCGGGCAAACCTGAGGTTCAGAAAGAGCCCGATTTTGACAAAACACTTCACAATCATCTGCAAAACAATTACTTAGCCAAGAGATTCATGAGGAAATCAGGCGTGGAAGGGTCGGGCCGCAGGGGTGGGCCCATGACGTGGTGGGCGGCGTGACGCCATTCTTCATTCCAGTAGTGAGTGCCATCTGTGCCCAGACTCGCCGCTATGGGTTCTCCGTAGACCACCTTCCCTGGAAGGTCAGAGGAAGCAGTTAGCACCTTACTTTGCACCCAAAAAAGTCACCTGACAAAGGCTGACACCTCACGCTCTCTGTCTTAGCAAGAGGAGCCCTGGTGGGGCGGAGGGTTCCTCGTTGGACTGACTGCTCACTGCAAGGCCGGCAGGCTGAGCCCATCAGCCCCTCGGCAGGAGAATGATGAGAGTTTGTTGTTGCTGTTGTTGTTCTCATAAAGATTTACAGCTTTGCGTCGGGGGTCTTAAAGGCTTGAAGATAAACAAGCGGCCATCTAGCTGAGAAGCAACAAAGCCCACATGGAAGAAGCACACCAGCCTGTGTGATCATGAGGTGTTGATGGGATCAGATATTAGGCGTCTAAGACCCAATGTGAATGAGGGGCAGTGTGGAGTGGAGACCCAGAGCCCATCTGTAGGCAACTGGATGTCCCCTTACAGAAGGGTCACAAAGAAGAGACAAGCCAGTCAGGGTGCAGTACAGCGCCAATGAAATATACAATTATCCTCTAGTTCTTTAATGCTTCCCCCCATCCCACTATCATGACCCCACTTCTACCTTACAATTCTGGCTAGACCAGAGGATGTACAGTAAAACAGATAAGAGCTGGAAACCCAGGGAATCCAACAGAGAAAACCCCCTCAGGTCCAATGATGAGAGTAGCAATACCAGGAGGGCAAGGGAGAGGTGGTGGAAAAAGAGGGACCTGATCACAATGATCTACAAAGCCCCTCCCCCTCCCCCAGGGGGGTTGGGCAACAAACAGAAAAGTGGGTGAAGGGAGACAACAGTCGGTATAAGACATTAAGAGAAAAAAATTTATAAATTATCAAGGGTTCGAGAGGGAGGGGGAGAGGGTAAATGAGCTGATACCAAGGGCTCAAGTAGAAAGAAAATGCTTTGAATATATAATGATGGCACCGTATGTACAAATGTGCTCGACACAATGGATGAATGTATGGATTGTGATAAGAGCTGTAAGAGCCCCCAATAAAATGATTAAAAACAAACAAACAAAGATTTGCAGCTTTGGAACCCCCAGGGGCAGTTCTACCCTGCCCGAGAGGGTCACTGGAGTTGGCATGGGCTCAATGACAGTGAATTCGTTGGTGGTGGTGGTGTTGTTTTTGAGGTTGGGGGGGGGAGGGGCGCAAGGGATAACATGAATCCCAAACTATAATTTGGTCTTGAGAACTGGATCTAAAGATACCTACTAGTTTACTGAAGGAGCCCCGGTGGTACCACACTTCAATGTTCCACTGCTAAGGAAAAGGTAGGAGGTTCTAATTCACTCAGCACTTCTGTGGAGCCTTTGGTGATCTGCTTCCAGCTTTATGGGGGTGGGGGTGGGGTTGTTTATAACCCTGGAAAGCCTGTGGGGCACTCCTACTCTGTCATGTGGAGTCACTGTGAGTTGGAATCCGCTGATGGCACCCAACAACAGTGCGGGGTATTTACCCTGTCCCAGTCAAGGCCAATGTGCATGGCAGGTTCTCACCCCACTCATTAGTCACATGACTTAACCTTGGCCCATAAAATGGGAAGGGAAGTGACACCTCACTCTCACTGGGTCCACTGTGCCTCTCAGCGACCCTACAGGATAGAGGGGAACTGCCCTTGCGACTTTCTGAGACTCCAACTCTTCACTGGAGTACAAAGTCTCTTCTTTCTCTGTTGGAGCGGCTGGTGGTTTCAAACTGCTGACCTTGTGGGTAATGCCCAACTCATAACCCACCACACTACCAACCGAAGCTAACAAAGTTACCGTGGGGTTCTCCTTTCACTATTGCCCCTGTCAGGGAACCAACATGGGGACTGCTTCTTGTTATGTCCCGCAGTGAGAGGGAGAGAGTCCAAGATCAGAATGCACCCACATCAGACATGAGTATGAATAAAAAGCGAATTCTTACCATTGTAAACCACTCGTGTCTTAGATGCATTTGTTACTGCAGCATAACCTGACTAAATTAACTGATTGTTGCCATTTTAATAGGATCTTCTCAGAACCTTTAGGGTTAAATAACATTTCGACAGTGACAGTACATCTAACCTCCCACACAGAGAGTGCAGGAGACGGATCCTAGTTCCAGGCCATAAAACCCTGAGGGCATACGGTTATCCTCAGAGGTCACCGAGCTGAACCCCAGTGTGGCTCTGTGCCAAATAGATTGGTCCTCTTTTCACACCCGCTTAAAAACAATTCTCCTTCTTAAACTTACATTAAATAAAAGAACACTCAGATGATTAAACTGTAGCCAGGAAAGCGAATTTTAAAAATCATGTAAATGAGGCCATCGAAAGCACACAATGTTAGAGAAGTTAACAGCAGCGCATTTGAATTTAAAATCAGAGTCCTACCTCCGATTACCATTTGTCAGAGTAATAGATTCACCGGCATCCACTGATCCAATGCTGCAGGCACAGAGGAGAGCGCCCGGGAGGAGACGCCGGCATACCAAGTTACTCCACGTTCAAGTTCCAGATTTCCGTGCACACCTGATCTCTAACCGACAGGAGCTGATCTCCTCAGAGACTTCTGAAAGGGTAAGGCCACCATTGCAATTGGAACAGAGCACCCTATTATCTCACAGATAATATCCCCCCACCCCACCCAAATTAGCCACCTCCCTTTAGCAAAGCCTAGGCACGGGAAAGCCCATGAAGTGAGGCTTGCTGAACCTACGCAATGTGGTTTCTGAAGGAAGCATGCTATCCCCCAGGGGCTCGGGACTGCAATGGCCCAGGTCCTTCCCCTCCGGAGCCTTCTCTCCCCCACATGCGGCGCACCCCCCTGCCACCCTCGTCCAACCGTCTTGTTCTCAGAAACCAGGGGGAGACCAGACAGAAGGAGCCCTGGTGGCCCTGCAAGGTAAGTGTCTGACGGCTAACCACAAGGTCGAGGGGTCACAGCGACCAGCCACTGGGAGACACATGAAACTCTGCTTCCACAAAGACTGACAGTCTCGGGGGCCCTTAGGTCGGGTC